TTATTTATTTATTTATTTATTTATTTATTTATTTATTTATTTATTTATTTATTTGAGATGGAGTCTCACTCTGTCACACAGGCTGGAGGGCAGTGGCGTGATCTTGGCTCACTGCAACCTCCACCTCTCAGGTTCAAGTGATTCTTCTGCCTCAGCCTCCTGAGTAACTGGGATTACATGCATGTGCCACCGTGCCCAGCTAATTGTGTATTTTTAGTAGAGACAGGGTTTCACCATGTTGGCCAAGCTGGTTTTGAACTCCTAACCTTAAGTGATCCATCCACCTCAGCCTTCCACAGTGTTGGGATTATAGGTGTGAGTCACCTGGCCTGGCCTATTATTTAATTATCACAACAAGCCACAATGTAGATACTACTACAGTACTATTCTAATTTTATAGGTAAAGGGAGACTGAGGCACAGAGTTATGTAGTTTATACACAGCATCAAAGCTCCTAAATGTCAAGTGAAGATTCAAACCCAGGCAATAAAATAATGGAATATTGCTGACAAACACTTTCTATCTGGTATGAATATGTGCCATGTGGTCATTAGTGCCACATACCTTTCTCTCCACCGAAATAGTACTGGTTCTTGTCTGGTAGTACTGTCATATGCACTCCAAAAATCATTTTCCATATTGTTAAAGTGATAAAAAAAATTTTTTTTTGAGACAGAGTCTCACTCTGTCACCCAGGCTGGAATGTAGTGGTGCGATCTCGGCTCACTGCAACCTCCACCTCCTGGGTTCAAGCGATTCTCCTGCCTCAGCTTCCCGAGTAGCTGGGATTAGAGGTATGTGATACTGTGCCCAGCTGATTTTTGTATTTTTAGTAGAGATGGGGTTTCACCATGTTGGCCAGGCTGGTCTTGAACTCCTGACCTTAAGTGATCCACCCACCTTGGCCTCCCAAAGTGCTGGGATTATAGGGATGGCCACCACCCTGGCCTAAATTGGTGAATTTTTGATACTCTGTGTATGAAAAAGCAATAGTGTATATGCTACAATGGTGTACACTAATATTGTTTCCTGGCCTTTTTCATATGTAGATTAATTTTGGGTTTTTTAGATTAGTTTTTGTAATTCAAAAAGTAATACCATATGCAGAGTACAAAAATTAAAAACACAACAGGGTAGACAAGGAAAAGTAAATCTCTCTCCTACCCCAGACCTTGGTCCTCTAAACTGGGAAGCAAGGCTGCCACATTCCAGAATTTTTCTTTTTTTTTTTTGAGATGGAGCTTTGCTCTTATTGCCCAGGCTGGGGTGCAATGGCACTATCTTGGCTCACTGCAACCTCTGCCTCCTAGGTTCAAGCGATTCTCCTGCTTTAGCCTCCCGAGTAGCTGGGATTACGGGCATGTGCCACCATGCCTGGCTAATTATGTGGTTTTAGTAGAGATGGGATTTTTCCACGTTGGTCAGGCTGGTCTCGAATTCCTAACCTCAGGTGATCCCCTCCGCCTCGGCCTCCCAACGTGCTGGGATTACAGGCATAAGCCACTGCGCCCAGCCCAGAATTTTTCTATGTACATAGAGATTCTTTTTTTCTTTGAAGACAGATAGGCTCATACTATCCATATTCCTCTATACTTCGCTTTTCAAGAGTTTACCCTAGAGGTCATTTCATGTCTATATCTGTCTTCCTTTTCTGTTTTCATGGCCATGTGTATATATATATATATATATATATATATATATATATATATATTTTGAGACAGAGGTTCGCTCTGTCGCCCAGGCTAGAGTGCGGTGGCGCGATCTTGGCTCACTGCAACCCCCACCTTTCAGGTTCAGGCAGTTATCCTGCCTCAGCTTCCCGAGTAGCTGGGACTACAGGTGTGTGTCACTATGCCCGGCTAATTTTTTTGTCTTTTTAATAGAGGCGGGGTTTCACCATGTTAGCCAGGATGGTCTCGATCTCCTGACCTCATGATATGCCCACCTCCACCTCCCAAAATACTGGGATTACAGGTGTGAGCCACTGTGCCCGGCAACTATATATATTTAATTATACAAACATGCCAGAATTTATTTCTAGATTCTTTTTATTATACCTAATGCTGTGATAAACATTCTTGCATGTTAGCATACACATGTAAGTGTGTCTGTAGCATAGACTGCTTTTGGTGGAATTGGTGGATCACAGGTTGAGCATTTAAAACGGGTATATCCTGCCCAGTTACCCTTCAAGGGCTACCCAATATTATGCTCCCATCAGCATCATGCTGTTGCCTGACCCTCAGTCCTTTACCTATGCCGGGTGTGCATCATCAAACGTCAGCCTCAGCTGCTTAAAAATAGGATGATGATGTTTTATTTTGCCTATTTAAGAAACCCTCAGAGTATATCTTACCATCTCTTTCCCTCCTAGGTGAACATGGGTGATCGGTTTGGGCAGATCATGATTGAAAACCTGCGGCGACGACAGTGTGACCTGGCGGGCGTGGAGACCTGCAAGTCATTAGAGTCACAGGTCAGAGAGCAGGGACTGAGACCTCCGTTTAGACCCTTAGTCAACCAAGATATATAAAGGTCTTTCTTTGCAGATATGATCATGGAGAAGCCCTGTTCAGTGCCTGCCAACATAGGCTGCTGAGCCTCCATGTGGGCCGCTATTTCATGAGGCTGGGAAGATCAAGGCCTGCTTTGCCATCTTGGTGTAGAAAATACACATTTACATTTCCTACACCCTATTATTTTGACTTTGTATTATGCAAATTTTCAATCAAACATAAAGGTAGAGGGAATGGTAAAATACACACATCCCATCACCTAACTTCAGTATGTCTTATTTTAACAGTATTATTTCCTGTATTCCCCCCACAATTTTTTTGTTGATGCTGGAATATTTTCAGGCAAATCCCAGACAGCATATGATTTCACCCCTAAATATTCATGTGAATCATTTACCAATAAGGACTTTCTTCTCCCGGAATGATAATACCATTTCACAGATCATACCTCACAAGTTGACAACTCCTTCATAGCATTTAATGCCTAGTCCATGTTCAATTTCACCAGTTGTTTCAAAAACCTTTTTTTTTCATAGCTGAGGTGTTTGAATCAGGATTTAAACATTGTCCACACTTGGTAGATGATTGATATGTCCCTTAAATCTCTTTGACTCTATAGTAGTGCCCTCTCCCTTTAAAAGAGTCATTTATTTTTGCTTGAAACACCTCCCACCCCTCTCCCCATATAAACAGGCTCATTTTTTTTTTGGGTGAGTGCAGTTGCTCATGCCTGTAATCCCAGCACTTTGGGATGCTGAGGAAGGAAGATAACCTGAGTTCAGGAGTTAGAGACCAGCCTGGCCAACATGGTGAAACCCTATCTTTACTAAAAATACAAAAATTAGCCAGGCGTGCACTTCTGTAATCCCAGCTACTCGGGAGACTGAGGCAGTAGATTTGCTTGAACCCGAGAGTTGGAGGTTGCAGTAAGCCAGAGTTGTGCTATTGTACTCCAGCCTGAGCAACAGAGTGAGCCTCCATCTCAATAAATAAATAAATAGGTCCATTTTCACGTCTCTTGTCACATAACCATTAAAATTGTCTTTCACAGAAAAGTTCTCCCTTTATTTCTCTTTAGAAGTACTTTAGTGAGCTTCCCCCCATTATGACAATGCTTGTTCAGCATGGAAAGTTGGAAAGTAAAAAGAAGATATTAGGGGCCAGGATGGACTTTTGAGGAAGGAGTCATCTCAGAGGTCTGGTGTGCGTAAGAGCATCTTGGTGCCAGGCACACTGGCTCACACTTCTGATCCCAGCACCTTGGGAGGCTGAAGCGAGAGGATCGCTAGAGCCCAGGACGTCAAGGCTGCAGGGAGCTGTGGTCACACCACTGTACTTCAGCTTGGGCAACAGAGTGAGACCTTGTCTCTTTAAAACAAAATAGTGTCTCAGATTTGTATGCCAGTGCCTGGTAGTTTTCTAGTTCTCCATTTCTCTTCATTGCACATTTTAGAAAGAACGGCTCCTGTCGAATGGGTGGGAAACAGCATCGGCCGTCGACATGATGGAGTTGTACAGCAAGTTACCTCGAGCTGAAGTGAGCAGGTATGGGGTTGGTGAGCATCAGCTTGGTGGTCATTCATTGTGAACTCAAGGCATGATTGCCTGTATTCTTTAATGCAGAAAAACAGAACAATATGTGGAGATTTTATTTAAAAAAAAAAAGACCAATCGTGGTGGCTCACACCGGTAATCCCAGCACTTTGGGAGGCATAGGTGGGCAGATCACTTGAGGTCAGGAATTCAAGACCAGCCTGGCCAACATGGTGAAACCCCGTCTCTACTAAAAATACAAAACTTACCTGGGCGTGGTGGCGGATGCCTATAATCCCAGCTACTCAGGAAGATGAGAGGGGAATTGTTTGAACCCGGGTTGGGGGGACGGAGGTTCAGTGAGCCGAGATCGCACCTTTTCACTCCAGCCTGGGCAACAGAGTGAAACTCCATCTGAAATAAATAAAAATACAAAAACTAGCTTAGTGTGGTGGCTCATGCCTGTAATCCCAGCTACTAGGGAGACTGAGGCAGGAGGATTACTTGAATCCAGGAGGTGGAGGTTGCAGTGAACTGAGTTTGCACCACTACATTCCAGCCTGGGCGACAGAGCAAGACTCAAAAAAAAAAAAAAAAAAAAAAAAACAAACCCAACTAGACCTATTTTGAAACAAGTTAAACACTGATAGCAGCTTGAAAGTAACTCATTAACTATTAGCTGAGATAGGGCTTATGCCCAAACTGATTATTTTAGTTACAACAAACAGTTACACCTGGAAAATCCCAGAGCAACCTTGGCAGTGGAAATTTTACATAATCCCTGCTTTGGAGATGGAGGAAAATGACATTGCTCGAGGATGTATAAGGGGCTGGCAGATTTTTAAATGGACTTTTCTCCCCATTATAAAGGAAATCTGTGTGCTTCTTGTTCTACAGAGGTTCCTCAAGCATTGTAAAGTACATGAAGTATAAAGTAGTTGCCTGCTCTGTAGTCACCCTTGGGAGATAGTAATTCTTATCATATTGGGGAACATTCGTTTCACAGGTAGATATTTATTGATACATAGATTTCTGTTTTTTGAATCTGTGGATTCATACTACACATACTGGTCTGTAAATTCATATTACATATACTGGTCTACACATACTACACATACTGGTTTACAGACCAGTATGTGTAGTATTGTAAAAGTAAAAACAATAGATTGTATTTACTTTTGCATATCAAAGTATTAAGGGTTGCTATATCCCATCTAAAGGTACATAGGGCTGCGTGTGGTAGCTCATGCCTGTAATTCCAGCACTTTGGCAGTCCAAGGCAGGTGAATAACCTGAGGTTAGGAGCTCAAGACCAGCCCTGGCCAACGTGGTGAAACCCTTTCTCTACTAAAAATACAAAAATTAGCTGGAGGTGGTGTGGGGTACCTGTAATTCCAACTACTTGGGAGGTTGAGGCATAAGAGTCACTTAAACCTGGGAGACAGAGGTTGCAGTGAGCTGAAATTGCACCATTGCATGCCAGCCTGGGCAATAAGAGCGAAACTCTGTCTCAAAAAAAAAAAAAAAAAACGAAAAAAAAAAAAAAGCAAGGTACTTAGTATTTATATTGATATGTGGATATAGTATGTTGATAATAATTTTTAAGTAATTAAAAATGTCTATAGCTGGGAATTCAGTCGTGGTGTCTTGTTTATTCATCTTATTTTAATTTCCCTGTTATAAACACTAGAGAGAACGTCATGGTACGTGCATCTGTGTACAGCACTAGTGCGTACTTCAGCTCTTTTTTTTTTTTTGTAATCACTTTGTGCTTCCTGATTTGTACTTCCTTCTTGCCTTTGGAGACCTAAGATCAATAGCTTTTGGTTTCTTACAAGATCACAAGAAGAATTTTTGGCTTAGCTGTTCCATATAACTTACTAACATTTAGATGTATCACTGTTTTTCCAAAGTATGTATATGAATAACTAGCAATGAAAGCCTGGAGGGTTTGAGAAAGTGGTGTTTCCACGTGATCAGATCAGCGCTTCCTGGATTCTTCCGGAAGCATCCTTCCCCACAGGCTGGTTTTCATTTATTACATGTCAGGATGACTGATTGGAACATCCCTGATCTGGCCCCTGAAATGGGAATGCTCTGGCAACTCTTAGGGGCCCGTGACTAGGATTAGCTACAAGGATTCTCTTATCTCCAGGCAGTCATTTGTCTTATATTGCTAGGACCTTCTGTAGACAGCAGTGTGTAACCCTAGCAGGGGTGGCAGGTAAGGAGATTGGAAGGCCTTTGTCTATGCCAGGCTGAACGGCCTTCCCAGCTTTGTGAATGCCACATAGTTTGTATCTGCTTTTAGGGGAAACTGGAGTATAATAGGAAGTCTAAGACTAGCCTATTCATTGAACAAATGCTGAGTGTCTGCTGTGTGCTGGGCACTTTCTAAGCACAAGGGATACCAGCAATGATCAAAATAGGACAAGACATTCCTGCCCTTGGGAGCACTCATTATAGTGCAAACTTCATAAGTAGATTAGTAGTATCTCCTGATAGCTGTAATTGGTAATAACCATCCTGGAGCCTTCAGTATGGTGCTGGATTTTTCTAGAACTTGGTATCAGTTATGCCTTGGATGTCTTCTGGTAGAAAGACTTGGGAAACAACCACATTATGTTATGTGTAGTCATTCTTCAGATGTGGTCCTGAGGCCTGCATACCAAGATGGGAATGAATTCAGAAATACTGAAACGTGCATAAACATGCACATGTGTTCACACCTGTGCATACATGCACACATGTAACAGACAAGGCCTGGACATGTGGGAAGACTCATGTTAGCAATGGCTGTTGTGAATAGTAGGAATATGGATCATGTTTCTTGTTTTATTCCATATGTTTTGAAAATGCCTGACTTTTCCTCCATAGTGTGTACATATTTTGACAGAAACTTTTTTTTTTTTTTTTGATAGAGATGGAGTCTTGCTGTGTTGCCCAGGCTGGTCTCAAACTCTGGGCCTCAGGCGATTCTCCCACCTTGGCCTCCCAAAGCTCTGGCATTACAGGCATGAGCCACTGCTCCTGGCCAACAGAAACTTTTTTTAAAAGCTGTTTCCATATATTTGTGCACGTTTCTCTCTGTGTGCATATGTTTATTTTTATTTTTTCGAGACTGAGTCTCGCTCTATCGCCCAGGCTGGAGTACAGTGGCGCAATCTCAGTTCACTACAACCTCTGCCTCCCAAGTTCAAGCAATTCTCCTGCCTCAGACTCCTGAATAGCTGTGACTGTAGGTGGGCATCAACATGCCAGGCTAATTTTTGTATTTTTAGTAGAGATGGGGTTTCATCATCATGTTGACCAGGCCGGTCTCAGACTCCTGGCCTCAAGCAATCCACCTGCCATGGCCTCCTCAAAGTCCTGGGATTACTGGCGTGAGCCACTGTACCCAACCTGTGTATGTATATTTAAAAGTTTACATTTAAAAGACTTTTTGGAAAAGTCATACATGCATATAATTTTTTATAAAACCAGCATAAAGTAGTATAGAGTAAAAACAACCTTCCTCACTACTGGTCAACTACCTTCTCTCTCAAAAGACAACTACCATTTCTAGTTTCTTCTGTATTTTCCAAAAGTCTATGAATATACAAATTTGTCTCTCACTTTTTCTTTACATAGAGAGTGGTGTATTATGCACATCACTTGCTTTTTAAATTATGCAATTTGCTTTTTAAATTCCATGATATGCCTTGGAGGTTATTCCATGTTAATACATATGGACCTACCCCATTTTAAAAAATGGTTGCATAGTGTCGTCTTTTGACACTATGAATCTGCTTCAGTTTCCTCTGCCTGTGTTCTCCGGTTTCCACTAGTTTTTCTTATTGAAGTTTAACAGCTCTTTATATAATAAGGAACTCAGCCCCTTGTCACTTGAATTGCAAAGATATGTTTCTAATTTGTCATATGTATTTTGACTTTATTTTTTTCTTCTTTTCAGTGAAAATAAAATGGAGCCACATCATAATTATTGTTTTAGAGCCTGATTCTTTTCACTTAATCTATCATGAACATTTTTTCATATCCATAACTATGGGCCATGATCTTCATTTTAAATGCATACACTTGCATTGTTCTATTTTAATTCTTTCCACAGGATAGAATCACTTGAATTCCTGGATGAAATGGAGCTGCTGGAGCAGCTAATGCAGCATTACTGCCTTTGCTGGGCAACCAAAGGAGGAAATGAACTTGGTGCGTGATTGTACTTTTCTTGCCTTGAGCTGGAAATAGTGAACTCTTTCCCCTTTTCTTTCTCTTTCCCTTTTCTTTTCCTTTCTCTCTTCTCTTTCTTCACTTTTTGTCTTCTTTCTTTCTCTTTCTTTCTCTTTCTCTCTCTCGCCCTCTCTCTCTCTCTTCTTTCTTTTCTTTCTTTCTGTCTTTCTGCCTGTCTGTCTCCCTCTGTCCTCTCTTTCTTTCTTGTTTTGAGACAAGGTCTTGCCCTGTTACCCAGGTTGGAGTGCAGTGGTGTGGTCATAGCTCACTGCAGTCTCCCAATTCCTGGGCTCAAGTGATCTTCCTGCTTCTCGAGTAGCTGGCACTACAGAAGCCTGGCTGATTTTCTGTAGAGGTCTGTCTAAGGCTGGTCTTGAACTCCTGGCTTCAAGCAATCCTCTTGTCTCAGCTTTCCAAAGTGCTGGGATTACAGGCATGAGCCACTGTGTCTGACCAGAATTTTTCTTCTTCCCAAACTGAAAGATATATTTGGAACTTTGGGCCCAGAAAGAGCTAGAGGACTGTGTACCTGTATCCATGAGCATATCCAGACAATTTACTGTTATATCTTGTGTGTTTTTATAGCACAAAAAGCAGGAGAACTGTTTAAATAAGCCATGTAGCCCCCAAAAAAGCAAACAACCCTTAAGAGATCTACTGTGGAGTTCCTGCAGCTGGAGGGTAAAAGACCTTGAGAGTTTAAAGTAAAAATCTCCAGAAAAGTAACCACTGTTTGTCTTTTTCATCAATTTGCAATCAGGTTCGCTAGATGTTAAATGCACAGATCGTTACGTCTCACTTACAAACCCATGCAGCTGGAGGCTGAATTTTCCCTCTTCTCATTAAGGTGCACTTCCCTGGCCATGGCCTAGTAGGGCCACTGGGAGCAAGTATGGCTCCATCTGTTTCTTGTTACCTTGGTCCTGGTCCAGCTACTTTTCAGCTGCCCACTGCTGGGCTTGCTTCTCCCAGTGGTTAGGCCTTGGGTGTCTCTCCAGCCTGATGGAGGCCACTTTAGATCCCAGTTCAGGCCTTTAATGGAATAGCTGCCCTTCAAGCTTCCCACAGATGTCATCCACATGACGTGTGATCACAGGCAGGCAGCTAGCTGATCCGAAACAACTTGACAGAGGCAAGGACCATCCCCTATGTGAAAATCCAGGTTGCATGAGACCGATAATCAGCCTCTATGGACTTGTCATTCCACACAGATTTGCCTTAGCTATGCAGCTCAGCCCACACAGTCCTTTTACATTTGTTTCGTTTTTGTTTTGTTTTTTTGTTTTGAGATGGAGTCTCGCTCTGTTGCTGGAGTGCTGTGGTGTGATCTCGTCTCACTGCAACCTCTGCGCCTTGGGCTCAAACGATTCTCCTGCCTCAGCCTCCCAAGTAGCTGGGACTACAGGCATGCACCACCACACCTGGCTCATTTTTGTATTTTTAGTAGAGACAGGGTTTCACCATGTTGGCCAGGCTGGTCTTGAACTCCTGACCTCAAGTGATCTGCCTGACTGGGCTCTCAAAGTGCTGGGATTACAGGCATGAGCCACCATGCCTGGCCTTCACATTTGTTTTGGATTTAAGGTCATTTATTGGTAGACTGGGTGCAGTGGCTCATGCCTGTAATTCCAGCACTTTGGGAGGCTGAGGCAGGTGGATCACCTGATGTCAGGAGTTTGAAATCAGCCTGTTCAACATGGTGAAACCCCATCTTCACTAAAAATACAACATTTAGCCGAGCATGGTGGCACATTCCTGTAGTCCCAGCTACTTGGGAGACTGAGGCAGGAGAATCTCTTGAACCTGGAAGGCAGAAGTTGCAGTGAGCTGAGACTGCACCACCGTACTCCAGCCTGGGTGACAGAGCAAGACTCTGTCTTAAAAAAAAAAAAAAAAAAAAAAAGTCATTTATTGGTATATTTTTATATTATCCTGCTCTTAATTATAAAAGAATACTTCTTAGTAGGAAACTTGAAATTCGCTTCTAAAAAGTATAACAAGGAAAAGAAAATCTACCTGTATGCCTGTCACTCAGAGACGACCTCTTGTGATTTTTCCCTTCCCCTCTATTTCTAAATATTGTTTTGTGTGTTTTTATAATAGAGTTGAATTTTTATATTTCTGTAACTTTGATTTCAGGTGTTTTCAACTTAATATAACAGCGTTTCCCCCGGCAACTAAAAATGCTTAATGAGCATAATTGTAATGGCTTTATAAAATTGTATTATGTCACTATGTATGGCTGAATTGATGTAATTTTTCCATATTTTTGGAAATGTAGGTTATTTGTAATACTTCTAAGTGAACTCTAGTTCTAACAAAGGAACAATATGTTGAGCATTTTAATGTCAGGGATTTCTTTTGTCCCCACTGACCCCTGGCTGCTTTGGGACATCAGTGCTCATCTGTGCTTGTGGAAGACCTGTTTCTGCCTTTGCTCAAAGTTCAGCACATAAAGGGTAGACTTTTGGCATTAACTGCAGACGGTCTATAAACTGTTACAATGCTTTCTTAATCCCTTTAAAACCACCCATAAACACAGACTTTGCCCAACCTTTTTTTTCCTTGCAAAATCTCATTTTATGTAACACAGGGGCAGTGCTGCAGTGGTCAGTGGTGTGGCTGGTGCCCGTGAGCCGATCACTGGGGGTCCTCGAGGGACCTCTGCTCCTGGCCACCAGAGTCTCCTAACAGGGTTTGTGTGTCTCTCCCCTCAGGGCTGAAGGAGATAACTTACTAATCTGTTGAAGGCTTATGCCGAGCCAGAAGCCGAAGCCACTCGCCATCCTGAAGGAGACCTGCGAGCTCCCTGAGTGGTGAACAGGCCTTGTCCGTGGTCTCATCCCACAGTCTGAGAAGCCTAGGTTACTACAATGGTCGCACCTGTTCCTGTTCCCCTTCCTGTTCTGTTGGCATATCATTGTTTAAATAAATCTCACTTGCCAGTCACCTCTGCTGGCTGCCACTGCTTATTCTGCACCCCATGGGTTCGGCAGGCCAGGGTTCACCTCTGTTAGCTAAAGCTAAGGACCCTGAGTCTGCTTTGACCTTGGCTTACTCCCTGTCAGTCAGACTCGGCCCATGACCTTGAGTCCATTTTAGGATCTACTCTGTCACGTGCTGTTCCTTGCGGCACATGACGTTGTGCCTCACACCCTTACCCCTGGCCTCCACCAGATGCTAGCACTCTTCTCTGGCTCCTGTCTCTGCCCTGGCCACAGTGGCCTGCTTAGTTGCCTCCTTCATCTTGGGTCATGGTGGCAGGCTGAAGGATGGTCCCTAAAGTGCCCATGTCCTGATCCCCAGAACCTGTGAGTGTGTTACCCTCTGTGGCAAAGGGGCTTTACAAATAGGATTAGGGGTTTGAGATGAAGAGGTGGTCCTGGATTATCCAGGTGGGCCTGCGATGATCACAAGGGTCCTCATTAGAGGGACAGATGAGGTGTCAGAGCCAGAGGAGGAGGGGCCCAGAAGACAAGAAGTAGAGGCAACCAGGAGATGCTGCGTAGGGCAAGAGCAGCAGATCCTCCCTTGGCCGCCAGCTGGAACCGCCTGCCAACATCGGGCTGCCAGTGTTAGCCCAGGGAAATTGATTTCGGATTTCTCACCTCCAGAGCTGTAAGAGAATAGATCTGTGGTGGTTTGTGTGTGTGTGTGATAAACTGTTGTCCACGCTAGCGTGCAGTGGCGTGATCTTGCCTCACTGCAATCTCCACCTCCCAGATTCAAACAGTTCTGCCTCAGCTTCCTGAGTAGCTGGGATTACAGGTGCGTGCCACCACACCAGGCTAATTTTTGTATTTTTAGTAGAGATGGGGTTTCACCATGTTGGTCAGGCTGGTCATGAAGTCCTGATCTCAAGTGATCCACCACCTTGGCCTCCAAAGTGCTGGGATTACAGGTGTGAGTCACCGTGCCGACTGATCTCTGGTGTTTTTGGGCCACCAAGTTTGTGGCTTAAACATAGCCACAACTAGAAGCCAATGCGGTTATAAGACACATTCCGAGGGCCCCTGAGTGATGACGTCATATTTCAAAAACGTAAGGCCTGTCCCACACCTGTGTGCTGAACTCCCCGAGTGATGGGTAGGCCATCAGGTCTACAGGGACTTTTTAGTTATGTGACTGGCGCTGTGAGTCTGAACCTGCACGTGCAGGGCGGCACTGCAGAAGCCCCCAGCACTCTGCTGGAGAGGTAACAGCCCCTCTTCCACCATTCAGAATCCTTAAATCAGTGTCCCCTAGAGTGTGGGCCATGTACTTCTAGTGGCATGCGGTTGATGAGATGTGTCTAATACATAAATGCCTGTGATGAAATGAATAAGTTAGGTGCAGTAGGATTAGCAACAATTTATAAAAGAACAATTATAGCCATATACCATATTAAAGTTATATAAATGTGGTCTTTGAAAATAACTGGCTGGGCACGGTGGCTCACTCCTGTAATCCCAGCTCTTTGGGAGGCCAAGGTGGGTGGATCATGAGGTCAGGAGTTGGAGACCAGCCTGGCCAACATGGTGAAACCCCATATCTACTAAAAATACAAAAAAAGTAGCTGGGCTTGGTGGTGAACATCTGTAATCCCAGCTACTCAGGAGGCTGAGGCAGGAGAATTGCTTAAACCCAGGAGGCGGAAGTTGCAGTGAGCCAAGATTGAGCCGTTGTATTCCAGCCTGGATGACAGCGAGACTCTGTCTTGGAAAAAAAGAAGATAACTGTACTCACTTATTTTTGGACCTCAGCTGATCTCGGGTAACAAACCTCGGAAAAGAAAACCATGGGAAAGGGGGAACTTTGGTATATGTATAGCATTAGCAGACACAATGTTTACTTTTTGTTGTTGTCAGAAAGGGTCTTAAGAAAGGGTCTTGCCCTGTCTCCCATGCTGGAGTGCAGTTGTGCAGTCATAGCTCTCTGCAGCCTCAACCTCCTTGGGCTCAAGCGATCTTCAGCCTCCTGAGTAACTGAACCACACAGGCACACACCACCACCCCTGGCTATATTTAATTTCATTGTCGAGACAGGGTCTCCCTATGTTGCCAGGGCTGGTCTGTCTTGGACTCCTGGGCTCAAGTGATCCTCGCATCTGTCCTATTCCAAATTTGATATTGAAATTAGGCCAATTAATAACCCTACAACAGTCTCTACGTGCTCAAGTGAAAAGAAGAGTCACATGCCTTTCACGCTAAATCAAAGCTGGAAATGATTAAGCTTAGTAAGGAAGGCACATCAAAAGCTGAGATAGGGCCGGGTGTGGTGGCTCATGCCTGTAATTCCTGCACTTTGGGAGGCCAAGGTGGGCGGATCACGTGAGGTCAGGAGTTCGAGACCAGCCTGGCCAACATGGCAAAACCTTGTCTCTACTAAAAATACAAAAATTAGCTGAGTGTGGTTACTCATGCCTGTAGTCCCAGCTACTCGGGAGGCTGAGGCAGGAGAATTGCTTGAACCCGGGAGGCAGAGGTTACAGTAAGCCAAGATCACACCACTGTACTCCAGTCTGGGTAACAGAGTGAGACTCCGTCTCAAAAAAAAAAGGCTAAGATAGGCCGAAAGCTAGACCTCTTAGGCCAAACAGTCAAGTTGTGAATGCGAAGGAAAGGTTTTTGGAGGAAATGAAAAGGTGCGACTCCAGTGAACACATGAATGAAAAGAAAGTGAAACTATATTATTACTGATAGGGAGCAAGTTTGAGCGGTCTGTAAAAAAGATCAAACCAGTCACAGCCTTCCCTTAAGCCAAAGCCTAATCCAGAGCAGAGCCTTGACTCGTCAGTTCTGTGAAAGGCGAGAGAGGTGAGGAAGCCCCAGAAGAAAAGTTAGAAGCTAGCAGAGCTTGGTTCCTGAGATTTAAAGAAGCTGGGCCGGACGCGGTGACTCGTGCCTGTAATCCCAGCACATTGGGAGGCTGAGGCAGGTGGATCGTGAGGTGAAGAGATCAAGACCATCCTGGCCAACATGGTGAAACCCTGTCTCTACTAAAAATACAAAAATTAGCTGGGCGTGGTGGTGCATACCTGTAGTCCCAGCTACTCGGGAGGCTGAAGCAGGAGAAACGCTTGAACCCGGGAGGTGGAGGTTGCAGTGAGTGGAGATTGCACCATTACACTCCAGCCTGGGCAACAAGAGTGAAACTCATTCTCAAAAAAAAAAAAAAAAAAAAAAAAAAAAAGCCGTCTCCATAATATAGAAGTGCAAGGTGAAACATCACGTGCTGATGTAGAAGCTGAATCAAGTTGTCCAGAAGAACTAGCTAAGATCATTGATGACGACGGAAGCTGGCTACATTAAACAGCAGATTTTCAATGTAGGCAAAACAGCTTTCTCTTGCAAGAGGATGCCATCGAGGACTGCCATAGCTAGAGAGGCGAATTCAATGCCTGGCTTCAAAACTTCATAGGAGAGCCTGATGTCTTACTGTCTAGTATCGAATGCAGCTGATGACATTAAGTTAAGGTCAGTGATTATTTACCGTTCTGAAAATCCTAGGGCCCTTAAGAATTATGCCAACTCTGCCTGGTGTGGTGCATCATGTCAAGGCAGGCAGATTGCTTGAGGCCAGGAGTTCGAAACCAGCAGGACCAACATGGAGAAACCCTGTCTTTACAAAAATGCAAAAATCAGCCGAGTGTCGTAGCGCATGCCTGTAGCCCTAGCTACTTGGGAGGCTGAGGCACGAGTATTGCTTGAACCTCGGAGATGAAGGTTGCAGTGAAGCAAGATTGTGCCACTGCACTCCAGCCTGTGCAAAAGAGTGAGATTCTGAAAAAAAAAAAAAAAAGCACCAAACCTACTCTGTGCTAGAGAAATGGAACAGCAAAGCCTGGGTGACAGCACATCTGTTTGCATTGTGGTTTACTGATATTTTAAGCTCATTGTTGATACCTACTACTGAGAAAGAAATTGCTTTAAAAATATTACCGCTTATTAGCAATGCACCGGGTCACAAATAACTGATAGAGATGTACAAGGCAATGAATGCTGTTTTATGCATGCTGACACAACATTCATTCTGCAGCCCCACGGATCAAGGAGCAATTTTGTCTTTCAAGTCTTACTATTTAGAAATACATTTTGTAAGGCTATAGCCATCATAGTGATTCCTCTCATGGATCTTGGTAAATTGAAAACCTTCTGGAAGGGATTCACCATTCTAGATGTCATTAAGAACATTAGTAGCCAGGCACGGTACCTCATGCCTGTAATCCCAACACTTTGGGAGACACATTACTTGAGGTCAGGAGTTCGAGACCAGCCTGGCAAACATGGCAAAACCCCATCTCTACTAAAAATGCAAAAGTTAGCCAGGTGTAGTGGTGGGCTCCTGTAATCCCCGCTACTACTTGGGAGGCTGAGGCAGGAGAATCACTTGAACCCGGGAGGCGGAGGTTGCAGTGAGCTGTGATCGCACCACTGTACTCCAGCCTGGGCAACAGAGCTAGACTCCCTCTCAAAAAACAACAGCAGCAGCATTAGCACTGCATGGGAGGAGGTCAAAATACCAACCTTAACGCGTTTGGATGAAGTTGGTTCCAGCCCTCATGGATGACTGAGGCGTTTAAGACTTCCATGGAGGAAGGAATTGCAGATGTGATGGAAACATAACTAGAATTAGAAATAGAGCATAAAGATGGGACTGAATTGCTGCAATTTCATGATCAAACTTTAACGCATGAGGACTTGTCACTTATGAATGAGCAAAGAAAGTAGATTCTTGAGACAGGATCTACTCCTGATGAAGATACTGTGAACATTGTTGAAATGACAAGGGATTTAGAACGTTACACAAATTTGGTTGATAAAGCAGCAGTAAAGTTGAAAAGGATTGACTCCAATTTTGAAAGTTCTGTGAATAAAATGCTGTAAAACAGCACCTCTTGCTACAGAGAAATCTTTTGGGAAAGGAGGAGTCAACTAGTGAGGCAAACTTCCTTGTTGTCTGCACAGCAC